CATCGAAACACAATTAAAACTACTCCTCAAGAATATAAGAGATAATAACAAACCCATTGAACACATCCCCACCTCATCAGCCGATACCGCAATAAAAAGTTGTAATGATATTGATTACAATCTCATCAGGAAATGGACCACAAATATAACAAACGATAAAATTTTGAGTATATGTGAGACGGCATCGGGATGTAAGTCAACCCAACAACTCACTCAACTAATCCACAGATCATACAAAAAGCCACTTCCCATACAATTGAGTGAATCGATTGTGAGGTTGTGTCCATTGATATTGTTTGGACCCCAAGAACACCAATGCACTCAACAAACTGATAGCCCGACCCGTAAGCTCCAGAACCGTCCCAATTCTGGTGCCGTTTGGGGCTTCAGTATACTATTCGTGACAATTGTGAGCTTCTGTTCGCTGATAGGGATCGCAATCCTACCGTTCCTTACGAAAGGCACATATGAAGTCATAATAATGGTGTTCGAGGGCTTAGCGGTCGGCAGTTTAGTCGGTTCCGCGATCTTTCATCTCATTCCTCAGGCCTTCAATCTGGCGATTGTCGGCGGAACTCATGCCTACCTCTGGAAAGCACTCATAGTCTTCGGCGGCATTTATTTTTTCTTTTGGTCCGAAAGGATCATAAATATGGTGACAGACTTTCAGAAGAAAAAATCAGTTAAACCCGAGTTGGATGTGGAGCCACACGACTCACAAAAGTAATCATTTTTCAACAAATAATGAAACAATAAATCTTTTTGAACATATGCTTTATATTTACAAATAACATGTTATTAACAATTTTACATTAATTTGGGATTTCATTCACAGAAAAGTTCACTTTAAAGACATTGATTATCACAAACCCAATGGAGTATCAAAGAGCACCGATACTCCGGCACCTAATGACAACATTTCCGGACATACGAACCAATCAGTTGATACAGAACTGACTGTCTATCCATTGGTCACAAGTGAACTAAAAAGTGTCGACAAATCAGTGGACATAAGACACGGTCACTCGCATGGGAGTGGTGGGGATGGGAGTGAGAAACGGGAGATTGCCACAATGGCCTGGATGATTATTTTTGGCGACGGACTCCACAACTTCATCGATGGCATCACAATCGGCGCCGCCTTTTCTCAGAGCATCCTCGAGGGGATCAGTATATCAGTGGCTGTTATTTGCGAGGAGTTTCCTCACGAGTTGGGAGACTTCGCAGTACTTATAGCGTCGGGTATGACGATGAAGGAGGCGTTGGGCTACAACTTTGTGAGCGCCTGTACCTGTTATGTGGGCCTTGTATTTGGCATATTGTTGGGGGGTTTGGAGGACGCGGCCCCCTATGTGTTCGCATTCGCCGGCGGAATGTTCTTATATATAGCACTCGTCGATATGATGGCTGAGTTGACGGCAGCCCTCGATAGGGCCCGCCCTAAAGGGGTCGGAGAAACGCTTAAAGTTTTATTTTTACAAAATATTGGCATTGCTTTGGGAATCATAAGCGTGTTCTTAGTGGCCAAGTATGGCGATAGGATTAATTTTAGTACATAATTATATTTTAATGATAACATTATTTTAAATAAAAATTTTTATTTTTACAAAATATTGGCATTGCTTTGGGAATCATAAGCGTGTTCTTAGTGGCCAAGTATGGCGATAGGATTAATTTTAGTACATAATTATATTTTAATGATAACATTATTTTAAATAAAAATCAAATTGGTTTTATTTGTGTTTTATGTTAAATTTATCAAACACAGTGTATTGTACTGTACAACATTTGACAAAAATTTAGTATAAGTTATACTGTATAACCTTATTTTTAATCTACATTAATGTACTGCATTATGTTCATTGCTATCAATTGTTTATGTAAGAATGTCAGATATATTATTTATTGCATTTTTGCAAAAATATATACATTTGATATGATAATTAAGAATCATTATATTACTATTAATTCTTATTTTTCACATTAAATTATTTTATTTACAAAATATGATATATTTATAAATCAAAGCGACTCAAGGGAAATTATATAATCAATAAACTTAACAATAAGAATATAATTATAAACACAAATGTAAATGTATTGATAAAACTGAAAGTTATTTAACGCAAACAAATCAAAGCAATAAAAGCCAATCGGCTTTCCACTGAGTTTCTCAATAAATGAGCTGATCTTAAGTCTGTAGACCGGAGACGCCTTACAATTGATTATGAATTTATAGATTTTATTAACAGGTCTGTGGGCGACCGCTGAAAACGATGATCCGGTAAAGTTTAGCATAAATATAGCGGCTATTATCTGAAAGCCGGAAGAGATATAGACACTTCGGATCATGAAATTAATGTCTGGTTTAAAACCCAGATAAAAGAGTATATCCATGGGTGGCGTACACGTGAAGTACGTGATGCCAAACACGATGGCGACGATGCCATTCAATTTGCTTACTTCCACTGCATTTGACTGATGGCTAGCTATCACTCTCATCAACAGTTTGATTGTCTTTGAGTTAATGGTCAGCACGTCTTGCACTCTATAGATCTTATCAAACATTTGGTTCAGTTGTTTGAATTGATACTTGAAATACTGGATTAGAAAATAGATGAGCAGAGACCCGGCTAAACCCAGGGCTGTGCCACGAGTTATCCAAATAGCTAGCAATGTATTGGATATAATCAACGCTACGAGTGAGTCGTTTATATCAGTTTGCATGTAGCAAATGACCGAGGTGACCATATGGGCTAATATGGGTATAAACGCACAGCCGATTAGGGTCGGGTACAGAATCTTTGAGAAAAATTTAATTCTGACACAAAATTTTTGGTAATATTTCTCCTCTAAGTCCAATCGTTTAGTCTGTATTTGATGAATGATTTCAATGGTATAAAACTCATGTCTCTCTTCGCATATGAGATACAGTGTGTGGAGTGAAGCGATGGCTCCACCAAAACAGGCAAACATTGCGGTCAAGAAGTTGTTGAATCCCCACAAATAAAAACTGTCG